TCAATTTAAATTAAAGTAATTAAAAAAAATAAAATCATACAATTAAATTAAATTTAAAAAGTAAAAATTTGAAAAATTAATATAATGAAATAATAAAACAAAATGTCAAAAACCTTGGGCGACAAAATATTTCGTCGCGCAAACTATTAAACTAGTTAATTTTAATTAAATTTAAAAAATAAAAAATAAAAAAAATTGAATATTTCGTCGCGCAAAGATTTGCGCGACATTAGGATTCGTCGCGCAAAGTAATTAATATTCGTCGCGCAAAGTTGATACTATTCGTCGCGCAAAGTAGTTATAATTCGTCGCTTTTTAATTTTGCCGGAAGGGAAGGGCTAATATTTGTGGGAATAGAGGGAGTTTATTAAAATTTGTACAAGGTCTTTGTCTTTCCCACTTGCACTGGGCTATAGCCCTGATAGCCTAAGCGTAGTTCTGCTACTGTCTCGGCATAAAAATAAAAAAAGATTTTTGGCAAGGTAAACATCTTGCCAAATGGTCCTCAAAATCTGGTGGGAAGAGTGGGGATGAAGGGAAATACCCCCAGGCGTACAATGAAATTGATGATACCTTGATTTCACCTTAAAAGAGTCACATATTGTCCATGGCCAAACAACACGATCCAGCCTGAGTGAGATGCTAATTGGAATGCGTCTGAATATATTGTAGTCTCGCAGTCCAAATATTGTCCCACATTGTCTAGCTTTCAATAGTAATTCTAAACATCCATAATTGATACTGTAATGTTCTCGATTTAAATGGTTCGGGATTTTGATTTGATTTAAAATCAATAATTCCGATAATTTGGCAATTTAACCAAATTATCTTCAATTGATTGACTTGATTAAGATTTGATTTAAATCAAAGTCAATCACAGAAGATTCTTCTCTTTAATTTTATCTTCAATTTGAACCGTTTGATACACTTCGTCGAATGTCGACAAGTGTCACCTCCTTTGATAACTAATCCAATTTTAATGAGTCATATGCCATGTGGGCAAGTTGTGGGTCCCGTAATTCATTAAGCCTTAATTATTTTCTTATTTAACAGAATTGAATAAGCCAAAATTCCTTTGTCTACAATGGTGTTTGCAAGTGCTTATTGGATTATGGGAGCGGTTTTTGTGTGGGTGGTTCACCATCATTCTCCGTTTAAAGCATTGGTATGTCTTGTTACTAATTACCCAATTCTAGCCGTTGTAGATCTGTAGTGACGGGACGGCAGGGGGGAAGTGGAGGTCTGGATGTTTGCATTTGAGCCTGAACTATGCTAACTTTCTATTTTGATTTCTGTTAGGTTTGTACTTATTGGTGATGGGTTGTTTTTATTTATTTTTGTACTTTTTCTCCGCCTTCAATTTTTAATGAAATGAATTACTTTGAAAAAATCAACAAAACTACTTTTGAATGGCATCAGGAGGGTGGAGATGTTGTGAATGCAATATCCACAATTATGAATTTCAACCCCCCATGTAGTTATCAATCCCCCCCCTCCCCCCAACAAAAAAAATTGAGCAGGGGATAGTTCCAAACCACTTATTGGTAGTGACGGACCCATAGAGGCGCAAAGAGGTGCACCTGCATCTCCCCTTGGCGGAAGTAGCTTTGGTGGTGCTGGAAGTTGCCCCTCTACAAGTGCCTACCAACTATTTGTAAAAATGCCTTAATGAGGCTGAGTCATTTTCTTTGGTGCGCAGCTGCATGAAATTAATAAAAAGCCCAACCCAAGCCTTGGGTTGAAGAAAGAAGCCCAACCCAAACCTTGGGTTGATATTGATAATAACTAACTTGATACCTTTCCAGTAAGTCTTAGGCCCCGTTTGGTTCACGGAACAGATTTGAGGGGAAATCACTTCCCATGTCATTTCCTAGTGGATGGGAAATGGAAGATTCCTTTCCCACGTTTGGTGATGCTGGGAAAGTAACCGGGATATATCACTTTATTTCATTTCCCATGTTTGTTTTGAGTAGGAATGGAAAACAAAGTTTATATAATTTTCCAATTATACCCATATTAAATCAAATAAAAAAAGAATGCATTTAATGATACATTGTAATTCTAAATTGTTAATGTGGACAAAATGGTCATGAAAAATGTGCATTTAATGTTGACTCTCATTTTCCTAAACTTTCCCATGTGGTGGGAAAACAAAACCCAAGTTAGGAAAATCTTTTCCTCCTACTTTCCCATGTGCCGGGCAACCATTTCCTATGCTTGAACTTACCAAACATGGAAAAGCAATTGATTTCTCATCCCCAAACCTCCTTTCCCATGAACCAATGGGGCCTTAAGGTATGGTTATGATTTTTTTTTTTTCCTTCTTCAGCAACCACTTCAATGTTTTTTTTTTGGTTTTTTTATGTATAATTTTTTTTTTTCTAATTTGGCTCTCTCTATATTCGCATGATCGGTACCAAACTTGAGTATGAAGAGGTTGCGTGGCACACAACTCGAGGTAGAATAAATTATAATTTGTTTGTTTAATTGATAATTTGATATGCATTTTGAATAGATTAATTCATATTGATTTTCGTTAAATTAATTGATGATTTGATATGAATTTGGTAGACTAATTGTGTAATTGGAATGAATTTTGTTTATATTAATGGCTTATTTATGGATATGCCCCCTGTGCTTTCAAAATAGTCTCAGATTACCACATGTTCTTTAAAATGTCTCAATATAACACCTATACTTTCATTAAGTGTCTCAATATACCAAATTTGAGTATGAAGAGGTTGCATGGCACACGACTCGAGGTATAATAAATTATAATTTGTTTGTTTAATTGATAATTTGATATGCATTTTGAATAGATTAATTCATATTGATTTTCGTTAAATTAATTGATGATTTGATATGAATTTGGTAGACTAATTGTGTAATTGGAATGAATTTTGTTTATATTAATGGCTTATTTATGGATATGCCCCCTGTGCTTTCAAAATAGTCTCAGATTACCACCTGTTCTTTAAAATGTCTCAATATACCACCTATACTTTCATTAAGTGTCTCACGTTAGCAATTCCGTCAGATTTGAGAGAAGTTCCGTTAGCTGATGTGGCCCCCACTTCTTTTCAATCTCTTAACAAGGGAGAGGAAGGGTTAGTCAGGTTGAGAAAAAGGGGAATTTGGGTGAAGAAGGTTAGGTTGAGGGAATTTCAGATTTGGGAGAAAAGGAGGGATTTGGGAGAAAAGGGGGAATTTGATTTGGGGATTTTAGATTTGGGAGAAGAAGGAATAGGTTTCTTTCCACTTGAAAGAAGGGCTCGAATCTTTGTATGGGGTTCATCCCCCTTTTCTCCCAAATTTGAACATCCAGATTCCCAAATCTAAAATTAACTCAACCTAACCTTCTTCTCCCAAATTCCCCCTTTTCTCAACTTGACTAACCCTTCCTCTCACTTGTTAAGAGATTGAAAAGAAGTGCGGGCCACATCAGCGAACAGAACTTCTCTCAAATCTAACGGAATCACTAACATGAGACACTTAGGGCCAGTTTAGTATTGTTGTGCTGTGAAAATAATCGCTGTTAGATTTGTTGTGAGAGAAATCAACTATAAGAGAAAGCAGTTTGGCGTTTGGTAAACTTTTTGTTAAAAGTGTTGTTGGTATTGATTCTCGTATAATCATTAGACCCATCACCTCTTCGAAACTAATTCCTGTATAATCAGAAAATAAAAGCACCTCATTAGTTGTTTTCCCTTATAGCTTTATATCACAGCAATTTTTAACAGTAAGTGATTTTCTCATAGTTTACCAAATGGGTTGGGCTTCCCAAATTTTTTTTAAAATCATTTATCACCCCCAATAAGCAATGCCAAACATGCACTTAATGAAAGTATATGTGGTATATTGAGACATTTCAAAGAATATGTGATAATCTGAGACTATTTCAAAAGCACAGGGGCATATCCATAAATAAGCTTATATTAATTGATATACTATATAGACAATAATTAATTAGTAATAAACCTAAGACTGCCTATGTGGTTGTTTAATTTTTTTTTTTTTTGACCTTTCTGCCTTTGGATCTGCCATTAGTCATCGGTGATGATGTTACACAATCAAGAGGAACAGTCATGAAAATGATTCAACTGGTTGCCCATTGATGATCATAATTTTTTTATTAAAAAAAAAATAAAAGAACTATTAGATATTGCTTGGAGAATAAAATACACTAGCAATTTCAATTGTTGTGTGGTGTACTATATATTTTTTTCTCTTTTGTTTCCAAGTGCATCATTTTCCATGTGTATATATATGATATACTATAGCGTGGTCTTAAGCATTGACATTAATTTCAAGTCCAGCCCTACCCATCCCGTGGAGGAAACTAGTTTTCCATAATTACGTGGGACAGTTGCCCTACTAAGATTACTAGTCACAGTCTCATTATTGTAACATTCATTACACATGGGAAATCAAAAACACTAATAAATATAAAGTGACTACATTTGGTTACACATTCGATAAAATAAACTAATTTTTTAATTAACACGACATATACACATCATTTGTCGTATTATGTGATACACAAATACGATTAAAAAAATGTGATCTTTCTTGCATTTTTCAATCCGAAAAAGTAAAAACCTAAACACTGGACAAGGCTGCCAAAAGGGAAAATGTCATATCCAATTTGTCTCACCTTCCAAACGTGGCGTAGGGACGTTGGAAGTGTACGGTATGGTATGAGGAGGTGAATTATGAATACGAAACCGAAGTAAATAACAAAGTAGAAAGAAAGAAAAAAAAAAGGCAAAGGGGTCTTGCTATATAAAGTATATAAAAGCACTTCCATTCAGTCACTAAGTTCTGCTTGATCTGAATTCTTCTGAAGGCTGTCCAAAGGTTTCAAGCCTATATCGATCCTTGTGATCAATGGGTTCAACGAAACCTTATTTGGCAGTAATTTTCATACAGATAATATATGCAGGCATGATCTTGCTCTCTAAAGCTGCTTTCAATCGTGGTATGAACAGCTACGTGTTCGTCTTCTACAGACAAATGGCAGGAGCTCTGTTCATGTCCCCTCTTGCCATGATCTTTGAAAGGTAATTAAAAACTTCGCTTCTTCTTTTCCTTCTTATGATCACAATCACAAATCTACAGTTCGTTATTGGTTTTTGGTTTTGGTTGGGATATATTCCAGGAAAAGTGCAACGCCTCTTTCTGTTGTGACCTTCTGCAAGATTTTTATGCTGTCTTTTCTGGGGTAAGTAGGGTTGTAATCTTTTTTCTAATAATTATTAAGTTCATAAATATTTGTTCATTGCTCTTGCAAAAAAAACAAAAAGAAATAAATGGTTTTTGATTATTTCAGGATCACTTTGGCCATAAATGCTTATTGCATTGCCCTTACCTACACATCAGCGGCTTTGGGTGCGGCATCCATTAACTGTCTACCTGTTGGAACATTTTTCTTTGCAGTTTTGCTCAGGTACTTGCTTAATTTGCTCTCTCTCTCTCTCTCTCTCTCTCTCTCTCTCTCTCTCTCTCTCTCTCTCTCTCTCTCTCTCTCTCTCTCTCTCTCTCTCTCTCTCTCTCTCTCTCTCTCTCTCTCTCTCTCTCTCTCTCTCTCTCTCTCTCTCTCTCTCTCTCTCTCTCTCTCTCTCTCTCTCTCTCTCTCTCTCTCTCTCTCTCTCTCTCTCTCTCTCTCTCTCTCTCTCTCTCTCTCTCTCTCTCTCTCTCTCTCTCTCTCTCTCTCTCTCTCTCTCTCTCTCTCTCTCTCTCTCTCTCTCTCTCTCTCTCTCTCTCTCTCTCTCTCTCTCTCTCTCTCTCTCTCTCTCTCTCTCTCTCTCTCTCTCTCTCTCTCTCTCTCTCTCTCTCTCTCTCTCTCTCTCTCTCTCTCTCTCTCTCTCTCTCTCTCTCTCTCTCTCTCTCTCTCTCTCTCTCTCTCTCTCTCTCTCTCTCTCTCTCTCTCTCTCTCTCTCTCTCTCTCTCTCTCTCTCTCTCTCTCTCTCTCTCTCTCTCTCTCTCTCTCTCTCTCTCTCTCTCTCTCTCTCT